ACATTAATAAACCTCATGATATAATTAAGAACTATTTGTCTGCCCTTGTATTTAACAGCACTATCAAAATGTTGTAACTTATTTCTTGCGTAACTGCAATAAAGTTCTAAAACTAATAAATATTTTCTTTAGCTTATTAAAATATTGCTTTCATGCCAAAATGTTATTTCAAGATGTTGTTTACTCTGTATTGTTAAAAATACTGCTTCCGAAGCATAGCATTTAATCTTCCCTTAGAGTGCTATTATATAAAGATCCTGCTAACGTTTAGAATTGCAAAGAACTCTCTAAATGTTTTTTTAGAGAATGCATAGCACAATTGCATTGAAAATGATCTACAGAGATTTGAAACCAGATTCATAATTTATTCACGAAGGATTTTAGAAATCTATACTATTTTATTACATACTTTATTTTCTACAACATGCTTTAATAAATATTAGGATTGTTGGGGAAAGAATTAACATTGTTCTATTTATTTTAAATAACGATATATTTTTACAAGTACAGAAGAGTTTTAAGAAAGAATAGAAAAATTCCCAAATCCTAAAATATTATTCCTAAAATACATTTCCTAATTTGTTTACTCTTACATCCTCTTCTGTCACCCCCATACAGCCTTTAAAACACAGCAGGTACATGCACTATTGTTTTATAACTTTTGAACAAAAATTAATTCATCATATTATCATTCTCACTAGTACAAGATGAACAGTATGAAACTACCAAACAACTCTCTTTTAAGACAATTATATCTCAGTTAAATCCCCAGAAAGGTACCAGTTTCATTACCAATGATATTAGCTCTGCCATGGAGGAATGAAATTGTCATGAGGATTATCAACTCTATTGTTTTCTCTGAAAAAACTAAATCAATATTTTCCCATTCCATCATTGGGCTTTTATTATTTTTCATATTCTTTTCAACTCCATCAGTACAGATTAAATTGTTTTTCATACTCAGATGGCACAAGTTGAAGGATATGCCCTTATTTGCTGTTTGGTTTAATGGCTTGACCATTTCATCTTCACTCACTTGTTTAGGAATGCGCACCCATATCTTTTTTAAAATCTTACTTTAACTCTTGAAAGTTATATAGGAGCAATTCACAAGTGTTATCCAGGGGCTTAAAATCAAGACATCATTAAAAGAGAATGTTGTCATCGCCAACCATTCCTACTATAGAGGGCATCATCTTTTACATTTTAATCATTTTTTTCCTACACATTCTACTTTGCTCTTGTTCATTTTTATGAAAAAGTATAGGGTTCTGCATGCTCATTAGATCAATTCCCTCAGTCAGTGGACAGATGTTCTCATCACTGAATACACTACTACAGCTGGCATCTTTAGTCCCAGATGTATCAAGCTGGCATCTTTAGTCCCAGCTATATCAAGATGCCAATACACTGGCCTTTTCCATCATCCTTATATAATGGTCCTTTCAGTACAGAAGTTGAACTACGCTGACCAAGCAGTGTGGAGATTACTATTTTGTCTTCTACTTATGCTGCACAAAGAAGATGTTTGTCACCAGGTCTCTCTTGTCACAGTCCCAAGGAAAATTTTAAAGGATTTTAAAAAACCTTTAGTAATCCAAGACAATCAATGTATTTTACTCTGAAGTCTTTTCTAATTTCCATGTGAAGAATTTCTTCTTTACCGTGTATGAACTTGTTATCAAAAGTCCAGTACTGATATGAGTCTACATAAGGAGTTAGATTTAGAAAATATCCACCAACTCCACACCACAGTATTTTCTTCTACTGGGAGGTCTATTTGCAATTCATTCAACATTTGCCAAGATCAGTCTCTCCTCTACATAAGACAAGCAAAATAACTCTAAATTGTTTCTTTCTTTTCTGGAAGCAATAACCCCCGAGTTAGTCTTGAAGCAAAACTAATCTTTATTTGTTTTTGCATTTATTCCATTCTCCCTGAATGCCTCTATGTCTCAATGATCTGTTCCCCAAAGACTGGGTGAAGTTCACTCTAAATCCCAGAAGTAACACATTCAAAATAAGTCAAGTAGCCACTGCAAAACAACATCCAGTTTTTAAATCCTCCTTGACACAATAGCTAAGTGTACAGTATTAGCAGCACTCAAGTTCCTGCCTCTGTAATTAGTACTAAGGTAGAGTACCTATCTTTGATCTCAAAATAAAAGTTTGTTGCACTACCATTATATACTCTTGCCAACCTAATCTTAATTTTTGACTGGTATTACAAACTTTCAGAAATGGGCTTTAATTATTCAGATCATTCTTGTTTATGATTTCTCTTTCTTCTTCCAACAGTTTGTGTAGAAAAATCACTTATAATTTATAAGTAAATACTAGGAGAACAAGGAGAATATCATGTGACCTGAATCAAATGTGAGAGTTCGTAACCAGAGCTAAGAGTTAAAAAAATCGTAGTTTACACAAATGAGGCAGTTCTTTTTCCTAGCACTGAATCCTTCTAGATTTTGATTACCATATCATAAGTTTTGATTATGATTACCATATTCATTCATTACTGTGTTCATTTACAGCAGGAGTAGTCAACCCGCAGCTCACGAGCTGCAAGCAGCTCTTCACCCTTTAAAGTGCAGCTCTCGAAGCCTCCCCCATGGCTCGCGAAGCCACCCCATGCACCCCTACAAACAGCTTCTGGCTCCCTGTGCTCACCAGGTGCAGGGGAGCCGTCCGGCACGCCAAAATGACATCGGCAAGATGGTGGTGGCCGGCGGGAGCCTGATGTGGCCAAAAAGCCTAACCTGTGGTTTTAAAGGGGCAGTGTCTTTTTTTTTTTTTTTTTTTTTTTGGCGCTCAACAACTTTGGCTGCTCAGGAGCTCTTCCTTCTCTCCCCTCCCCCCTCAACAATTCTGGTGCGGCTCTTCACATATTTTCCACCACTGTTTCGGCTCTCATCATTTAATGCATTGGCCACCCCTGATTTATAAGATGACCCTCCAAGATGAAAAGGTAAAAACAGCAAAATTATCTTATATACACAGACACGTATTTATATATGTACATAGACACAGACACGTAGATATATATAGTGGCATATCAAAGACAGCAGGCTGCAGTAGTTTGATTGAGGGCAGGTATATGGGCAGTTGGGTGAGCAGGTTCCTGTTTCCTAAATAGGCTGCCAGAGACTGCTGCCCATCAATTAAGTCAGGAAGGCACCTGGGACTCATTAAGAGGCCTGCAGCAGCAGGCTAATGGGACACCTGTGCAGCTAATTAGGGCCTGCTGGTCCCTTATAAAAGGTTTCCCCACAGGCAAGGAGGGAGAAGGAAAAGAAGAACAGACTGGAGCTGAGGAGGAAGCACAGAGTGAGACAAGCTGCAGATGGCAAGCAGGAGAGGTTTTTTCCAAGATGCCAGGGAGAAGGCATTGTGGGAGTGGTTGGAGAAGTGGCTGCTATATGGAGGGGATAAGGACAAGAGCCCCATTAGCAGCTGATACCAAGGCCTCTGCGCTAGAACCCAGATCCCCCCCCCAAACTTCCCATACCCAGTGGGCCATCACAAGGGAAGAGGACTTTTTGGAGCTGAAGGGCTTTTCCCTCTAAGCCAGTGACTAGCCTATGATGAAAATGGCTCATTAAGCAGGGAACCCTCACCTCAGAGAAACAAGAAGCAACAGGATGAGTCAATGTCAGTTCTGCACTTTCTTCTTTAAAAAAGGAAGTGCTAACATTTTATTTCTCTTTAAATTGTATCTGCATGAAATCTGACCCTCCCATTTCACAAAATGCTAAGCCTTACAAGTCAAATCAGAAAAATACCATGAATGTACTACGGCACTGCTGTCCATCTGCTACTGTGTAATTTGATCTGTTCATTCATGTTGATCACTGAACTTCCTAAGTCTCTAGCAAATCTGAAAATATAATGTGCAGAATCAATGAAATCTGTAATAAAATTTTAATAGCCTCTTATTGCCCTAAATATGCCAGTCTACAGGACTACTGGGAAAGAAACAGAGCAATGATAATGTGATAGTGATAAAGCAGTTGACACTGCTCTATAAAAAGCTACAAAATCTATAGCTAAATTATTTTCATACTAATACTTAAAATGAACAGTGAAATCACAAGAAAATGGTCTGCTTATGATGAAGCATTCAAACTTCAAGCTGTTGAATATTCAGAAGCAAACAATAATTGTGCTGCTGTTCATGAATTCTGTATCAATGAGAAGCCAGTAAGAGAATGGCAAGAAAATAAAACACCACAAAAGACATGCCAAAGAAGCAAGAAAAAACATCCAACAAGGTACACTTCATTTCCAGAGCTGGGAAAAGATCGTAACGAGCGGGTTGTTAAATGTCAACGAAATGGGTACCTCATCACTAGAATTGGAATTAGTCTGTGTGCTCTGCAAATGTTGAAAGATGACAAATACAAGTCAGTAAAGTCATCAATATTTGTCACATTGGTGGGTTGCTATACTCACTTCATGAACCATTGTGGTCCCTGTCTTCGGTAGTGAACGAAGATAGCACAAAAATTTGAGAGACCTGGAAGAAAAATATCTAATCTTTCCAAAGGTTTATTCTAAAACATCAAAGAAATATGCATTTGAGCTGTCAGAAAGAGGAAATATGTATGAGACACCGATGACATTTGATGTCCTGAGCAACAGAATGGGAACTGGTATTAGTGAAAAAAGGTTTAATTAAAGTAACTGGCCACAAAAATATCCATTTTACAGTGGTTTTATCGTGTTTGTCTAATGCACCAAAGCTCCCTTCTGTTTTGTTTTTTTAAAGAAAACCATTGCCTAAAAACATGCAATTTCCTGCGGGTGTCATCATGTACACACATTATTACAGTGGGACTACTGAATGGCTGGAAAAAGCGTGGAATGGAAAAAGACCAGGAGCACTTCTCAAGCAACCTTCTATGCTCATTTCCTACTTGTTCAGGGTACACAAGATGGATGAGGTGAAACACATGGCCAAAAAAATAGAAATGATTTTGGTTCTAATACCTGGATGCTTAACTTCTGTTTTACAACCGCTTGATGTCTGCCTAAACACACCCTTTAAAGAATCTGCAAAATATGGTCAGACTGAATGTGTTAAAGCATGGCAAAGTTGACAAAAGGCAGGAATCTTATGAAGCCCAAAATCAAGTGAGTTGCCCATTGGGTCAAGGATGTGTGGGAATTAATTCCCTTAGAAAGTATAGAAAAATCATTTTGCAAATACTGCATCAGCAATGCACTTGATTGGTCAGAAAATTATGACATATTTGCTGATGACACAATGGAGGCTGATAAGGAATCTGAGTCTGAGGTTTACACTGGTGTCATCTATGATGACTATGCAGGAGCAGCTATGACTGAAGCCCAATTAAATGGTCTGTTTGGCAAATTGGAGACTGATTAACACTTGGAAGGATTTAAAGTCTTTTTAAGTGCAGTAAAGTAATATGAGACTTTAAAACATGAACTGCAATTTTGAAGGCATGTGAAGGTATGTGAATACATACTTGTTTAGTTATAACAGTTTTTTGTTAGATCACATTAAAATAAATCTACTAAAACTTTCGCTCCAGGTACACAAAATGTCCCAGCTTACTCTGATGGGCTGGGAACTGAAGTTTGCCAACCCCTGCTCTAAAACAACAATGTCAACTGTTGATAAGCCAATCCCACTCTTTGATGCAGGACTTTTTAAAACCAATAAAAATTTGGCTTATGAATGAGTACATATGGTAATATTTCTCCTATATCAGTGTTTCTCAAAGTGGACCCAAGCCATACCGCTTCCTGTGGCTCTCCTTAGCTGCAAACAGAGAACCGCAGCCAATAGGAGCCATGAGGCTCTGTGGCTGTGGAGCCATTAAGTGGGCCTCTGCCCCACTTCAAGAAACACTGTCCTACATCCATTGGATTAAGCACTGTGTATAGAAAGCTGACCTTATCAAGTGTTTTTTTTTTAAACCATCCTCTTGCCATCAAATTTTCAGATTTGTTAAAACTATGCAAGGAGTTACTCCTTTTGATTCAATAATATTTAATATGCTAGAATTGTTTTGTCAAAGTCTTCTACAGCTTCTGTCATTTCATACAGTAGTTTAAGCAGCTTTTCCTTTTTCTCTATTTCAAATAGTCCATCATGCCATGAAACTGTGACAATGCCAGCTGAGAGTCAAATTCCCACTAGCGGCATGTCTCAAGTTTATTTTACAATAGTCAGCGATGGGGATTCTACTGCAATACTGGGTAAATTGTTGCAATGGTTAATTATCTTATTTCTAGTCTATGTTTGTCTAAAAGTATATATATTTTTTAAAATTTCCAACTTCATTTAAACCTATTCCCTTCTCACCCTTAAGTTTAAAAAACAAAACTAAGAAGCAAAAATGTTTCTCTCTACTCTCAGTATCCTTTAAAGCAACAGATTATTTATTTGTATACTTTAAATCCCAAGTTTTGTATATTGGCTGCAAAATTAAAAGCAACTGGAATTAAACATCTGCTCTGACATTCAATAAGGACCATATGTTCATTTGGTTTTAATACTGGCTTTATGGGAAGTCAATATTTTCAACTCCAGTGCGCTGTATCAAATAGCAGCTAATATAGTCACTTCTGAGACTTTTTTTATACATCAAACCCAGCTCATTAATGATTGCAATCAGTGTGAATTTACTATAAATTATCTTCATATCTTGATGTCCATCTGCTCTAGCACAATGTATCCTATATTTTAAAAAATCAAATGTTATCCAAAATCTACAAATCTTCAACAAGCTCCATGACCTCATTTACTTTAACGCATCTTTTTAAAGAGGAATGACAAGCTTATCAAATTATTTTAACCAAGTTCATATCAGAAGCAATTCTACATATGGTACATATATGGAATTGCTTTAATAACTACATCAACTTGATAGGTAAACAATGCAAAGTACTCGTTACAAGAACAATGATGAAATGTCTGTACAGCCAGAAAAATCTATTTAATAAGAGATGGTTATATTTGTGTTCCTGCTAATGGACTTGGTATTACATATGATTCTCTGCTCTGCTTACATTCTAAGTACTAAAACTCTTTAATTTCCGTTAATATAAAAATCCCAACATCAGAGTCTACAAAAGGTAGATATTGTAGGCTCTCCAGTTTGACTAGCAGGATAGGATTTTTTGCTGGTGTTTTTGGTATTCATACTTAGCATCTCTAAAAAACAGGTGCAATGTGCACAAGTTTAAATTTTTCTCTGCTTCAAATGTGATCTTCATATTAATGAAAAAAGACTCTAGAACCAGAAGCAATGCAGGAGAGAATTTTTTAACAGCTCTTAGTGGACAATATTATCAACCATTTAATAAAAACATCACCATCATATCAATCAAATGATAAGTCCTAATCCAGCTCCCAAAGTGAAAACTTTAATTACATTTTATTATATTTTCTCCTAACCTGAAGTGGACAGGAAGATATACATTTAAATCTTGAAGTTATTTTATAGGCAAAAAAGCACAAAGGTCCAGATAGTTATTTCAAGCCCGAATCCCTGTCCTCAGTTTGTGCTTAAGCCACATTACCTCTCATCCTAGAGCAGCTGGCTCTGTTTAGATAAGTAGCAAATTTATCATTTGAATCTCCCATTGACAAGAGATGCTGTGAAGTATTGCAGAGTTCAGTTCACGTGAGAACTTGTGACAGACTGTCCAATGTTGTGTTTTGCACTCCTGTTGAGTAGGCTGCTGATATTAAGTCGTCATCAGGAAATGCACCAACTCCAGAACTTCAATGCTTCTGCACAGAGGGAGGACGATCTAGCGCCTCTCTGATTATTTATATAGTACATACATGCAATATTCTTTCGTGACCTTTGCATGTATACCTCTGATCAGTGGGAGCAAGTTTTCCTGACTACCTTGAGTTTGAGAAGGTTGATGTGCTGAATCACCTTTAAAGGCAACCATGTGTCTAGAGTCCATGAGGCTGTTGAAAGGAGCACCCTCACCCACATGAGATCCATCTGTAGTGAGAAATAGCTATAAAGGGGAGCTGAATGAATGATGTTCTGGTGCAAATGTTTATCAGATCCTTCCATCAATTCAGGATGCAGGGACTTGACTGTGGCAAGCATTCAGAGCTATTCATCTACTTGTCTTTGTTTTGCCTGTAAATTAAGCTGAACCATATATGTGGAGTTCAGTGTGTGATATTACTCAAGTACCAGCCTCCATATGCCCCAGATGTAGGTAGCAATTACTGGGTGATGCTGGAGGGCTGAGTTGAACTTTTAGCACAGACAGGCTGTGAAATCTGTTCTGTAGATGGTGCTTCCTCACTTGCTGTGACTCAATGTTGGCACTTAAAAATTCCAAAACTTGTTGGTTAAGGTCAGTTTTTGTTCATTGATTTGCAGGCCCAGGTTCATGAATACCTCCCTAGTTCCATGGATGGCTCATAGGCCTTCTTCAAAGGACCAGAACTTAAGGAGACAGTTGTCTAGTATGGGTAGATCATGGTCCCCTGGGTGCATACATGAGCCACTACTACAGATAGGACCTAAGGGAATAACCTAGGAGCTAATGAAAGTGAAGTACTCTATACAGGTTGCACCTCTGAAAACCAGTATTCTCTGGTCCAGCAACATCTGTGCTCCTGCAGGGCCAGCAGCCCAGCCAGGGCAGAGAACTCGAGAACTGTGGCAGCTTGCAGCAGCGCAGAGCCGGGGGCTGGGGAACCTCAGGCACCCACAGCAGCACAGGACTGGCAGCCATAGAAGGCTGAGTGCTCGTGGCAGTGCGGACTCACGGATCAGAGAAGGCCAGCCACCTGTGGCAGCCCACAGCAGCATGGAGCCAGAAAACCCCGACAACCAGTGCGAGTGTGGGCCTGGGGGCTGGAAAAGTGTGGCTGCCTGTGGCAGTGCAGGGCTGGGGAAATCTTGCTGCAAGTGACAGCATGGGCCAGGGCCGGAGAACCCTGGCTGCAAGGGAGAGGCTTAAGGGAGCAAAAGACAGGGGGCCGGCTGGCTCAGGGCTGTGGCAAGGAATACCTTTCCTGGTCCGGCAAATTCTGTAATTTGAGATTGCTCAGGTCCAGATTGCCGGACCAGGGAGGTCCAACTTGTACTTGTAATGGCCCTGTCCTAGAGTAAACTTGAGGAATTGCCTGTGGAATGCTAGAATTAATAACATGGAAATGCATGCATTGGAAGTTGAGGGCCAAGAAGCAATTTCCTGTTCCACAGATGGAATAATCACCGTGATTGTGACTATCTTGAATTTATGGGCCTTGACATACTGTTCAGAGCCCTGAAAACCAGTCTGGGATCACAAAATACCGTGAGTAAAAACCTGTGCTCTAGAATTAATTCCGCTACAGGACATGTAGAGGAATTAATTCTATGACTCCTCAGCACAGACAAAGACCCAACTCCTATCCCAATAGTCTCTTAATGAGAAGAGTCCCTGAAGAGGGACAAGGGTGGGAGGAGGAAGAGGAGGGGGGGAAGAGAAGAAAGAAGGCAAATTGGATTGAATTCCCATTAGAGACATGACAGACTATGGCAGAGCTATTAGAGGATTGTCCTTTTAGTATGAGCATGCTTCTGTGTAAATATTATTTTTGGCAAGCCAAAAGTGAAAAAGCCCTTAAAACAATAACCAGCTTGTTCTGATAGTTTGATTTCTCGTACAAATCCACCTTCTTCTTAATCGAGGTTTCTGATATTCTGACTAACCCAAACATCCAACAGAATGCAAATTGACTGCAATTCTATTAGTATCATTTCTATTTCTGATCTGTAAATATGGCAGTTAACAAGAAAATACTTTTTACCTTGGAACTATACAAAAGTTAGAAAAATCAGTAAAGGAACAAGATCCACTACAACAAGGCAAACAAAAAACCCCTGAAGAATGTATGTTCTATTAATATTTGAACCACGTGTTGGGTTTGGGATGTTTTGTTTTGTGAATGAGCTGCAAGTGTATGAAATAATGAATGGAATATCTAATGCTTTACACAAGCAATACATCTTCAAGATCCTGCTTTTCTTGAAAAACACTCACGCCAACTCTCAATATATAAGTACTAGTCCAGCATTCTTCTAAGTGGGCTGCACTGATTGCACATAGTATGCGACTATTAGATATCCAAGTCAAAATGACATTATAACTGAGGCCAGCACTAGTCTAACATTACATAATGTCTGTATGTAGGTTAGGAAATGGGTTTATTTTCAGCTAGGCTATCTTCATTTAAAACGTCACTCAACAGCTAGTCTGCAAGAGATTCAACAGCAGGTTAGCTGATAATGATCAGTCCTACGCTGCAAACTTAATACTTTTTGGACATTCTCCCACAGTGAGAGAAAGATTACCACTGCATACTCAAACTAAATGTTCTTTAAAATTGGCCATTACATTGAAGCAGACACAAAGATAGGAAAGACCTGTTAATGATCTGGTGAATTGAGAAAAATATTGAGGGGGGAAGACAGGGAATACTTGAATCTATACTTAACCTAGATTAGGAAATTTCTTGTTGATTTAAGTAAGTATGCTTAAATATGGGGCCCCTTAGGCCTACCCCAAAACAGAGAAAAATATCATCTTGGGAAAAAGAAAGACTGGCAATTACTCACATGTTTCCTAATGTTCCTGCACATTATTTTGTGCTCTAGCTCTTGCACAATCTGGCAAAAAAATTATTGTATGATGAGTGATCCATGTAAGCAACCAGGTGTATTTCCCAGTAGGAACATAAGCAAACACTTCATGCCAAACTTAGATGTGTTATAAATAAATTTGTCTCATTGGAGTTGTGCTCATACATATCCAGTCTGCATTTTGTGCTCCATGAAGGAACCTCAAATAATTTCTTGCATACCAGCACATACACCCAAGTCCCTACATAAGTATATTCGCATGTTTCGTGTCTTTTATGGCCATATAAAAATATAAAAGTGTAACAATTTCTCATTGACGGGAAAAGCAGGATCTGCTAAACCAGAGGTGGGGAACCTAAAGCCTGGGGGCTGCATGCAGTCCCTGATTTGCCTGGATCTGCCCCCCCTCCCCCCCGAGGCTCAGGGCTCCTCCCCAGCATTGGGGAGCCAGCATCAGTGTGCACCAGTCCTCTCACCATCCCCCCACGAAGCTGGAGCACACAAAACCTACTAGCCTGGGCCCCTCAAGGATCTGATGTACAAATCGATTGTGGGGAATGTCTTTCTCCTTCTCAGTTGGGGGGCACATTAGTGAGGGTTTGTTTGTTTTTTGCTTCTCACTTGTGTGCACCTCCTGACTGATTTTTCTGTGGGACAGTAGCCCATGACCCAAAAAAGCTTCTCCCCCCTGAACTAAACCTTCAATCAAACCAAAACTGCAATTTGATGCATTAGTGAAGATCTTAACAAGATGAGACGGTACAGAATTTAGAGAGATTTTGTTTATCTGTGCTGAAATGGTAGCAACCAGTTAGAATAACCATATATTAAGGACTTAAATACAATACCAATATTTGCCATGTCACAAGTTTCTGTTTAAATAATACCTCTTATTTATGCCATTCTAAGCATACCAGCAATCTCTTCAAAACGTATCTAAGTAATAAGTTGTCATGTTAAGAAATAACGCATCCAAATTGGAATTTCAAGTGAAGTTGAATTAAATTAACTAGTAAAATAAAACATTTATTTATGTTTGCACTTCAAACTTCTTATAAACAGATACAAGGAGAAAAAGTTAAAAACCAGTTCTAGAATGTAAATGTACTACAGTGTTTTCCTTGTTAAGGACTGAGTCTCAGAAGGGTAGCCAATTTAGTGTGTAACTTTAAAAACAATGAGTAGTCCTGTGGCACCTTAGAGTTTTTTTTATATATGTAAATATAAATATAAGAGAATGAGAGAGAGATTACATATCAATTGTAGTGCCGATGCTTATAAGGCTAATTGAGTGGGCCGGAAGAGTCCTGTACTTAGTTTTTTATATAAATGAGATGTTAAATGTTTGGAGGGCTTTTCTTTCCATTCCAGCTCAGCTGAAGAACACTTGTTGTTGTTAAGGATTGAGATTATTTTGATTAAGTTTTAATTATATATCAATGTACATGCGAAAAATGCAAGTTATTTCTATACTTTGTAGAAACACGTCAGTCCATTTTATTTACCAACACTGCCACTGACCGCTTGTCAAACCAGCCCTGTAGATACCAAGCAGACTAATGCTGAAATCATGACCCCATTGAAGTCAATGACCAAGCTCTCATTCTCTTGAATAAAGTCATGGTTTCATGCCATGCATTTAAAGGTAAATCCTGCCTTGCAGCTCAGCAGGCACACCAGTTCTGCTGTAATGAAAGGAAGAAAAGATTTAAGCAGCTTACATTGGGATGTGGAGTTCAATGAGGGCTCCCAAGGAAAATATGGAACAGAGTAAGAGGCTGTGCTGATTTCACATGCCATTTTTTTCCTCTAGAGCACAAGTACAGGGGCCAGGGTTGGTACTAATGTTTCATGGATGCAGAGTAGATTTACTGCCACTCCACACTATGGGAAATAGGATTTTCTTCTCCCTTCCTCTTCCCTCCTGGAATTGTCAGAAGACCATAGCTCATCTAGCTACAAGGGGTTCTATACTGTAGAAGAGATTTATAGTGTTTAAGGCAAGAAGGGATCACCAGATCACCTAGTCTAACCCCTTTTATCTCAAAGCCCATGAATACCCCTAATACCCATGACCTAAACCCAAAACCAGAAATTAGACCAGATAATTACCACCCACAGCATCACACTATTATGCGCCACTGATTGAGAATAGGAGGGAATGAAGTTTGCCAGTGCCCAGGCCTCAGCAACAGCAGGGTAATAAGTTAAATGAGATGCACGCAAATAATCTTGGCAAGTGACCCACATCCCATGCTACAAAAAAACCTCAAGGTCACTGCCAATCTCACTTAGGGGAAAATTGCTTTGAACTCCACATACAAATATCAGGTAAATCCTCAGCTGAGCAAGCACCTGAGAGAGAGAGAGTATGGTCAGTGCCACGTCAGATCCCATGCCCACTGCTCTATGTCCCAACTCCAGCCATATTAATCCCTGATGCTTCGGAAGGAGATTTTAAAAAAAACAAAAAATCTTCCAGAACATGGCATCTGACTCAAACCCTGAAGCATGAGCTTTAGGAACGTAAGACAAACCAAACATGAGCCCCAGGGCTGTGAGCGATGCCGTCTACCATAACAAACAATTCCATTATCCCACAGTACTTTCACATATTCCCAGTGCTTTCAAGAATAATTAAGTTATTTGCCTGCATACCTTCTATTGGGAGGTGCTCTAGAACCTCACCCCCTCTGGTGGATAGGCATTTTCTTCTGATTTCCAGCCTGGATTTGTTGACGTTCAGTGTAGAGCCACTTATGTCTGAGACAACATTGTCACTTTCACTTTAAAAGGTATGAATAGAAATGGAGGTGACAGCCTGGGAATAACATCCAGCAGCCTAGTGAATACAACCATGTACTAGTAAATGGTTACCCCAGGAATCATCTTAATGAAAATAAAAAAAGAAAAAGTGTTGTTATAGAGGCTTAGTACCCAAGTTTTAATATCTTCCAAAATCATCTACTGAAGTGAACAGAGAAGAAACTTCCATGGAATGAACATCAAAATGTTTTATAGAGTATAGTTTTTGATTAAACCACCCTGACTTGCCATACCTCACAATATTTAACTTTTTCTTCTTTGAATCCATGGAGGTGGATGTTCTTAAAGCTAACTTACATGAATCTGTGTAACAGATTATATCACCTAAGCCAGATCTACATTTAGGGAAAAAGTCGATTTAAGATACACAAGTCCAGCTAAGAGAATAGCATAGCTGGAGTCAACATACCTTAAATTGAATTTCCACAGCATCGCCATTGCGGGAGGTCAACAGGAGAAGCTATCCTGTCCACTTTTCCTACTCCTTGTGACCCTGTGGAGTATACCAGGATTGAAGGGGGTACCATCAGCTGTCAATTTAGTGGGTCCTTTAGACCCACCAAAGTGAATACTGGAAAAGCAATCTCTGGAGTGTCCATCTCTGGGTAAGTATAGACAGAGCCCTAGTATTCTAAATAAAATCCATTTTTGTCTCTCACTGTCATGGGCACAATGCTATCTACCGTCAGGAAGCGTGACTGTGCCTTTTACCAATAGCAAATCTTTTAACTGTACATTAAGAAGGCTCTCCATCTGTTTCATCTCCAACACAGATCTAGCATTATATTCTCACAATGAACAGATGTATTTATGCCTTAAGCAAATTATTTTTGGTGGATAAACCTCAGTGCACCTTTTCTAAGGTCCATTAAATGGGTTTCTCATTCTGCCCCTACCACTGAGTTTCTGTTATAAGAGAAAAAGGAGCATTAAAAGGCAACAGGTGAAAACTAAAAGAGGGAAATACATCTGCCAAATTGTCAGAGTTCTGGTCAGGGAAAAGGTCTTTTGTTACTACTATGTCATTGCTTCTTTGTACCACGAAAACTCCAAGGAACTGGACATGGAAATTTATTCAAAACATGGGTATAGGTTGAACTTTTCTAGTCCAGCACCTTTGATCCGGCAAAATCTGTAGTACAGCCTGATTTTAGTTAGCCAGTTGTCCACTTATCCTGGATGTGGCCAAGTTTTCCATGGTCCCATAAAGTTTGTTTACAGCCACCAGTCCTGGCTCTCAGTGTCCTGTGCTTTTATTTAGCTCTAATTTACCCCTAAATGTCTTCTAAGAGCCCAGTAAGCAGTAGAAGTGTTGGAAATGCTGCTAGACAATACTGACCTCCTATGGTCAGGCAAACTCTCTGGTTCAACACCAGTCAGGTCTCAAGGGTGCTAGACTACAGAGGGTCAACCTGTATTGCTGTAAGGATATAAAAACAGTATCTCAGCAACATTATCACATGGCCTTGGTTTTATCAACTAGGAAAGTTTATAAAAATACTCGCTGATTATGTTCTTCATTCCTGCAGGTATCCCAAATCAAATTGCCAGTCATTAAAATGATAACTTCTATACATGCAGTTTCTTAATTCTTTCCTCAGTTCCTATAGCAATAGCAAATCTTAGAATAATACATTGTAAGTCAGTAACATGCAAGGATAAAACACTGCTAACTACCAGTGTTTTTATAACCCTATTCATAATGCTCCTGGACAAGCTAACAGGCAGTATAATTTCTAAGTAAGGGTGGGGGGGGGGGACACACAGCACTATAAACAGCATAAAAATCTTAAATAAGGTAGGCATTCTGAACAGCACAGATATTAGTGAACTACTTCTATCCCAATGCAGATGATGTCTTTTGCAGAGTATTCCAGAAAAAAAAAATGAATGCAGATTCTATTCAGACAGCTTGGAATTATTTATGGAAGGTTACTTATGAAGAGAGCCTTTTTCATACTGTCAAGTTTACAATATCTCCACTTGCAAGATGTATTTTGTCTTTTAAGACTTAAAGTTTTTCCTCAATAGTTATACTGTGCAAGATGTTTTCCTCAGAAAATTTATATTTTACTGTAAATATTTAACATTTTTATTTAAATATTACAATTCTGATTTGCCTTGGCTTATACCAACCAATGCTCATACTGAAATACATATTTCCATCAATCAGGGTACGTCTAACCTACATCCCTCTCTCGAAAGCGGGATGTAAATTAAACATTGAAATTGAAAATGAAGCTGGGATCTGAATTTCCCATGCTTCTGTTGCATAATCTCCTCATGGCGTTTTTTCAAAAAACGCTATTTGGAAAGTGAAATCACAGTCTATATGTGGTTCTTTCAAAAATAAAAGCCTTTTTCAAAAGATCCTGTACACCTCAAAAAACTGAGGTTTACATAGTCTTAGAGCTTACTCATGATATTGCTTCAGATAAGAGACTTATTTTTATTTAAAGAACTATATTATGTAAAACACCTAAGAAAATCTACTGTGATAGACCCAGGGCAGTAGTTTGGTGGAGGATAAATACACAGTCAACTGGGTAAATAGTTTGCTATCCCCTGAGTGAACTGACCTGGCAGGCACGTGGGGTCAAATAAGAACTTGTTTGAAGCAAGAGGCTAACCAGGGTACCTGCAGCCAATTCAGGCCTGCTGGGGCCATTTTAAAAGGCTTCCCCTCAAGAGGGTGAAAGGAGGCCAAGGCCAGCAAGTGCTAAGGACTAGGAAGAGGGTTGTGGAGGAGGAGAAAGGATTGCTCGCGTACTCGGAAGAAGGTACTGGTTGGGACTGTTTGAGGAAGTGGCCCCGGGAATGGCTGCAAGGCTCGGAGTAGAGGAAACGCTGCTAGTTGCCACTGCGCCTTAGCGTCCCTGGGTCGGAACCTGGGACAGTTGGCAGGCTCTGGTTCCCCACAACCCTTCCCACACTACTACAGCATCTGCCCCTGGGGGGGGGGGCAGGACTATGGAGGTTTTACCCCAAACTATGGACAAGCCTGTAACGAGGATGGCTCAGTAGGCTATGACCTTTGCCTATAGTAAAGGGTCAGAGGCTGTGTGGAAGGTCACAGCGAGCCTCTAAGGCAAAGACTAACCACCAGGGAGCAATGGACCCTTGGGGCACAGCCAGAGCTTTGCCAAACTACTTTTGCACAACCCTGTGATTATCTACTTTTAGCAAAGTGATTATCTACTTTTTTCTACTGTATATAACATTTTACAGCCTTTACTGTCCAGACAAACGTACGAGAAAGCTGTTCAGTTTCAAACTTCCTCTAAAATATTCAACTCCTGACACCACGTACATTATTTTTACCTTATTTTCTAACAATCAGTTTTGATTACTGAAATTTAGACTGCAACAACAAAAATATTTTTACTTGAGTTTTGATGTAAGCATTATAAGATCAAACTATGCCTTGAAGAGTCTCATTGCCCTAGTAGCACTGTAGTAGGCACTGGGCTTCATGGAGAACTTTGAAGCACAACGCTGCTGCAGCTCCCTCAGAACCCTGCGCCAACCCATAGACGTGCACCTATTTGAACAACCCCAGGTAAATCAATGCTATGGACAATCAAGATCTGTGTGTTAATTATTTGGATTTCTCTAGTCAATTATGCATCAAAAATATTTTATACAATAAAGCACCTTCCTTACTCCCATAGACATTCTTGCAGTACAATAAAAAAAAAATCTAGGAGAACTTTTAAAAGCCTCTCAAAAATGAATAGAGTCGGTGATAAATATATGCACCGTCATTTGGAACCTCTACAATAGAAATAAATCAATACATAATAGGGAAAATAATTGCCAGTTTAGTTTAAATGCAATCAAATAATAGAACAAATATTGTTCAAATGCTCTGCCATAACATCTACTCCTCAGTGAATGAAATTTTTTATTGGCTGGTTTTAAAAAAACATAGGGAT